CCCCTTTTTAAGCAAAGAATCTGAAGATTGCTCCTCACATTCTTGTACCTCAGCTTCAAATTCTTATATTTTTATTCATTTTTTCCCTCTTACTTGTCTGCTGTTGTGAATTTGATGCCTGCTAACTATACTGGACCAAACCCCAGATGATAATAGTTAATACTGCATCAATATTCTTATTTCTGTTAACCAAAATCTGACACAGATTCCACAGAGGTGGAGAAGTCTGTCTGAGCAGAATTATTATAAAGGAGCTCATTGTCCTTACTTACTATACTGTAAAATGACATGACGTCACAAAAACACTACACATACAATTAGATACTTGAACATCCAGTCAAAACCCACAAAATGGATGTATAACAAATATGCTTTGTTCTTTCCAGCTGTGGCAAAGATGTTTCCACTTTTGGAAGTCTTTAATGTATTATTCCTCTCCTGCAGAGCGTGCGTGGTCCACTATTCCCAGCATTTGAGTGGTTACATTCGCACACATTTCGCACACATAGAAAGATTCAGGCTATATCCTAGACTGCAGAAGAGCGGGATTCCTTGGCAAAGACATCATTTTCCAAAATAATTTGGATTTGCTATAAACAGGATTTTGTGATATAATAACATGAGAGCAGTATTATCCGGGATGTGGAAAGCATGGCCAAGAGGATATCTGAGCAGCTGCAACAGAGGATTATAATAAATCTTATTGTGCTGTACACACAAATTATGCCCGAAGAGCAAATACGTAAACTGAATTTCTGTGTTTTATGCTATTTTCAAACATTCAGGTCTTTTCTAAGAATCTCTTGTCTTTTAAAATCTTTTGTAAGATACAAATAAATAGTGAGAACTGGCTAAACTGATGAAAGAATGTATTTGTTTTACAGCGAGACATACTTGTAGTATTAAAATGTGATGTCTCATTATAAAATCTCAGTGGAAACAAAGCTGTTAAAGTGGGACAGCTGGAAAGCAATTTAAAGGCATCTCTCTCATGCCTTTTATTAGCTATAAAATGGAGCGTGATATGTAGGACTTGGTGGATTTTCAATTACAAGGAAAAAGAACATTTGGGGTGATTTAATGTCACAGTGCATCACTCAACAGCACCTGAATGAACAATGAAGGATGAGCACACATGCATTTACACACCCACAGTCCCACTAACCCTGCTGGAATGTATTTGAATGCACATCTTGTCTTCACAAGATCCTTATTTTCTCTTAAGCACCACACAGAGTGGCAGACTACTCAAAACACCTTAATTTTAGTCTTAAAAAGGACCCAGAAATACCTCACACAAAAACACATCTGTGGTGTAGACAGATATCGATGGGGGGGTGGAAACTGAGGGGTCCCCTAATCTTGACAGGCTGGGGTTGGGCAGGAAATGATGTCACCATCACCACAGTTGATCTCCAGACGCCAATAAGGTCACTCTCCCTGGGAAAGAGCAACAAGGGAGAGACATATAATCCCTTTGTTTTCTCTGTCTTCTTTCATCTTTGCCCTTCAAGACAGGATTACACCCGAAAGCTATTCAGACGTTCGTCACTGACACAGTACGCTTCGTAATAATAACAGTAGACATTCTGAAAGTGTTTGGGCCTGATCCAAGAGCAGGGCACATTCGATGAATTGTTAGTGCTGAGATTGCTCTTTTCTCTTTGTGTTAAATGAAAACTACACTAAAATTAATGAATATGGGCTTGGAGAGGAAATGGAGTCAGGTAATTGATCCAAGAAATGATGCAGGGGGTAGATTGCCAAGAGGAGAGTTAGTGTTTTCCTGTTCCTTAATGACGATTAGTGTGTACACTCGCTGTGAGTCATGCTTTATAGACTGTCTAGACTGCTGTGTTTAAGTGAATGTGGGAAGTTATGGGTTGAAGGGGTCCTGCTCACTTGCTATATGGGTCTATAGCTACTATATATGCTATAAGGAATTAGACATGGAGGGAGGGAGAGAAGGTGAAGCGCTGAGAGTCTCATCCTGCTGTGTTTGCATGCAAGTATGTGTAGATGTAAGTGTTTGTCTGCAAAGAAAATAAATTGCTGTACATGTGTATGTTTATATGGTTGCTTAATGAACTTGTGTGGGTGTGTGCTGCAAACTTCCTGGCTTTGGCAGTATCTCCGGAAGTCTCCCTCTCTATTTGTGTGTACAGTTCTATGTCTCGTTTTGTCTGGTTTGCTGTGTATACCTATGTGTGTTTACAGTATGTCTGCATTTTTAAGAGTACCCTATCAATTCTCCACATTCACTGCTTTAAAGAGCACAGAGGAGCCCATTCCAGCCCATCTCCCTGTCGGGTTAGAGACACAGTCCATCTGGTATTTATGAAGGTGCGGTCAAACCTAAGTGTCAGTTCACTGTGGCCTGCTTTCATCCTGCCTGGCCTCCGTTTCACTGTCATGTCTGGTGGAAAGACAGCCTGGACTGATCTAGACCTCGAGAATGAATGAAATAAAAAGCAGATTGCCTCACTTTCTCATAAATCAGATAGAGCCACAAATAGAGTCTGACAAACAAATTAGCAGAGCAGATGGTAGTAGCTGAATTTAGCTCACTGTAGTTACATTGTATTGCCTAATATGTAATTTCTAAGTGACAATAAATTGCAAAAACATGCTTGAGGTCAGTTTGATTCATAAGATCATTACATAGTTTGTCCTCCAGAAAGCACAAACAAGTTTATTTCTCAACTGTATAATGCCCTGCTCAGCACAAACCTTGGTCACAAATAAAAAAAGAGTATTCTGCTGTGTGTTATGTTGGTGTTTATTTTTTTTTTAAACTCTTAAAGCTACTATAGTTAATATTTTTATATGAATCAAAGGACTACTTTTAGTTTGTAAGTTGCTGCTTATAGTGCAGACTCAGCTCAGGCTTAGCTCTGTACAGAGATTTTCAGTGTCTTTAAGCTCATTGTTTTGATTTTGATCATGTGCAGCTTTAATATTTTGGTTCAGAGAGATTGTCCTCCTGTAAAATATAACTATACATGTCATTTGTGCCAGTAGGTTATTATGACAAGGTGTTATGTGTTACAGTTTATAATAATATTAATTATGCCATGAGGAAATAAGTAAGTAATGTAACTAGTATTTAGAGGCACAAAGTTTACATTAGGTCTTTCCCTCAAGAGAAAATTCTAGTGTGTGGCTTGTGTTTTTCAAGCGTTTGTGTTCCTAAATGTAGTAACGTGATTTTGTTTGTGAACTTCACCAAGCTCTTTTTTCTAAATCTACCAAAGTTGTTTTGTGACAAAACCTAACCAAGTGCTTTATGTAGCAAAAAATCCGTGATGGTTTTATAATCGTAACATTATACTGTATTTATGAGGAGTTTCCAAGATGGCAGCATTCCAGTAGCTTCCTGCTAGCTAGCCATCATGTGTATGGCTGTTTCCCTGATGACAAAGGTCTGTAAATGTTTTTACTGTGACCGTATGTTGTCATTAATGTTGGCTTGAATGTTGCAGTTCCTCCAGTTACCATAGGAGGGCTATTTAATGAGACACTCCTATGAGAGGGAAGGGACACACAACCATATGGGCCGTATTGGTTGGAGGACTTATTGTTTCTAGGCAAAACGTCTAAAAAAAACCCAACTCTACACTATCTGAACTGCACCAAAAGTCATATGAAGTTAGAAAGTTAACGAAAAAAATAGCTGTTAAACATAATGGAGCAATTAGCAGCTTACATATGTCAGTGTTATGTTTACAACTTTGCATGATTTAGCAAATTTGGCTTTTTGTATACAAGCAGCAAATATGGGAAAGCAGATAGGGACAAGTGTTTCAAATGCACATCAGAATGAAACGGATAAAACAGAGGCCTGTCAACTTCTTGCACAAGCTGATAACAGAGGACACAAGCTGAAATGCTTTTCAAGAAACAACTGTAAGAATGAACAAAAGAAAGAAAAATGAATGGGGCAGAGATAATTGTACTAAGATGAGAGTCAAGGAATAGAATAGTTTACCACATTCTTTGTGGCTTTCTTTCTGTGAAAGAAAAACACATGAGGAATGTCTCAAAGACTGCAGTGGGAAACCACAGATAGAGAGGCTTAATTTCCATCTGCTGCTTCACCTGCTAAATAAAAATGAAAAGAATTACATTCCACCCTTTCTGTTCATGATAAAAATATTCATGATCTTTCACGTAACTTCAGAGATTTGAAGGAACAAATAAACAGAAGCTGCTTGGTTAAACTATCTCGTTCACACTCAGTCTCTGGCCAACAGGACTAAACAAGGACCTGTCAATCTTCTTCCTCAAGAAATGTCTCAGTGATGAGCCTTGCTTCTTGCAGCAGCAGATCTCAGATAGAGCTTCCAACTCCAGATGTAAAATGCAGTCCAGAGGGTGTAACCCTACATTCCTCTGGCCTAATGTGGAGGTATAGCAGCATGGCTGCTGCTTGGCTTGGACGTCTGCAGGGAAGCCCCCTCTGCTGTCTTTCCCTTTGATACGAATCAAAGTCTGGGCAGTCTCCTGGAAGACAATTGTCACAGAAAGGAAATGAGGAAGCCAGGAGCAGACAGAGGAAGTCAACGAGGGACAGGAAAGAGGAGATAGACCAACTTGGGCTTTTAAAAGCTCCCAGTGATTAAAATAGAAAGGAAGGGGCCACAACAGAGGGGCTGAATTTCTACTGCTCTCTGATGCTGGGCCAAAGGAGTGTGTGTGCATCTGTGTGTTTACATGCATGACAAAATACAGTGTGTGTATGTTTAAGTTCTTGAATTACATACAGTAACACACACAATCTGTGAGTGTCTCTGCACAGGCTGGCATGTTTTTGTGTATCCATTTCTGGACAATTGTGTCTGTGGGTGTGCATGGGTGTGTGATAAAGCCTGTGTGTGTTTCAGGGAGAGAGCAAAGAAACTCTCAAAAGCTTGGAGGGGGATTT